CTACGACAAGGTCATCAGCTCTGACCACTACGTCAATACGGAAGTAGACACAGTACAACACGACTCCCGATGCAAACCAGGAAACAAACACTGACACCGACCTCCATCGTACTGTTCGTGGCCACCTCGTAGCATGCACCACGAATCGATGAGTATCGGAACCAGCCAGAAATCAGCTACCACATTCGCTAAGAAACGGACAAACACAAACGTGACTCGAAATTGCCTTTCACGCTCGTGGCTGGAAACATGATCGAAACACGCGGGCCTTCCAACTATCAGCTTGATCAACTCAATCAACTGAAGCAGTCACCATGACGGTTCGTGACCATTTACCCGTCACAACACCAGCCCACTCGCGAGCTCGTCTACCGATCCCACTCACTCACTATCCAATTGACACTGCCAGTGCACCACGCAGCGAGGAAGTTATCGACTCGACCGACCGACCGACCGACGACCGATCAAGCGACAGACGAACTCGACCATGAAGATCACCGCTCTCGCCATCACTGCGCTAGCCACCGTAGCAAGCGTCGCATCCGCTGACGACTACCAGCCGGCTCTCCGAGCACTTGCCGCACAGGAGCCAACTGCACCCATTGCCGACACACTTGCTTCCGACCCGACCAAGCAACAATCCTCTTCTCCTGTGGAGGCTGCTGCTGCAGCTGCCAACACGGAGCATGATGTCGACGATGACAGCAAGAAGGCCAAGGAGTGGTGGGGACGACCGGGATGGGGACATCGCTGGGGAGGCTATGGATGGGGGCGTCCCTGGGGTGGCTACGGTGGTGGCTGGGGTGGATACGGTGGCGGCTGGGGATGGTAGACGTCACACATCAACGACACCATCGACACGCTTGCAACCTGCCGCACTCTCACACGGACGGAACAGAACAAGGCGACTGCAATGTAGCCAATCAAATGGAAATCGGCATGCTCATTCAGCCTCGCTTTGTTCTCTAACGCTCTGAGTTCGTCCAATGTTGTTCTGGTCGCCACATTGGTTCAACATATCGCGTCAATGAAACACATGCTCGACTACCTTTTTGTGTTGAGTGCAACGGCTCGGTGCAAGCTTGGCGCTGCATACTTCCGAGATGTTGCAGCACGTCGTAGTCAGCCTCCCCCTCATTACGATAAGATACACACGTTCAGATCAACTCGCCTCGATCAATTGGCCTCGATCCACTTTTCTGGTTCACACATTCCGACCCGCTTGTTCGTATTGACACGTTCCCTCTTACTGATATTGACTTGCTCCTACTGATATTGACTTGCTCCATTCGATCGCTCCATTTCTGCACAGTGATTGCCATACTTTCTCGTAGCTGTAAACCAAGCGCTATGAATTGCCGCACCCTTTGCAATATCCCAAAGCGAACGCTTGCATTCCACTTCATTTCCACCAAACATGCTTTGAGAGTATCGATAGACGTCAACACGTCATCGATATCGGTCGCCAGGTTGAAGCTGGTGTTGAACACTACGACAAGGTTGAACACTACGACAAGGTCATCAGCTCTGACCACTACGTCAATACGGATGTAGACACAGTACAACACGACTCCCGATGCAAACCAAGAAACAAACACTGACACCGACCTCCATCGTACTGTTCGTGGCCACCTCGTAGCATGCACCACGAATCGATGAGTATCGGAACCAGCCAGGAATCAGCTACCACATTCGCTAAGAAACGGACAAACACAAACGTGACTCGAAATTGCCTTTCACGCTCGTGGCTGGAAACATGATCGAAACACGCGGGCCTTCCAACTATCAGCTTGATCAACTCAATCAACTGAAGCAGTCACCATGACGGTTCGTGACCATTTACCCGTCACAACACCAGCCCACTCGCGAGCTCGTCTACCGATCCCACTCACTCACTATCCAATTGACACTGCCAGTGCACCACGCAGCGAGGAAGTTATCGACTCGACCGACCGACCGACCGACCGATCAAGCGACAGACGAACTCGACCATGAAGATCACCGCTCTCGCCATCACTGCGCTAGCCACCGTAGCAAGCGTCGCATCCGCTGACGACTACCAGCCGGCTCTCCGAGCACTTGCCGCACAGGAGCCAACTGCACCCATTGCCGACACACTTGCTTCCGACCCGACCAAGCAACAATCCTCTTCTCCTGTGGAGGCTGCTGCTGCAGCTGCCAACACGGAGCATGATGTCGACGATGACAGCAAGAAGGCCAAGGAGTGGTGGGGACGACCGGGATGGGGACATCGCTGGGGAGGCTATGGATGGGGGCGTCCCTGGGGTGGCTACGGTGGTGGCTGGGGTGGATACGGTGGCGGCTGGGGATGGTAGACGTCACACATCAACGACACCATCGACACGCTTGCAACCTGCCGCACTCTCACACGGACGGAACAGAACAAGGCGACTGCAATGTAGCCAATCAAATGGAAATCGGCATGCTCATTCAGCCTCGCTTTGTTCTCTAACGCTCTGAGTTCGTCCAATGTTGTTCTGGTCGCCACATTGGTTCAACATATCGCGTCAATGAAACACATGCTCGACTACCTTTTGTGTTGAGTGCAACGGCTCGGTGCAAGCTTGGCGCTGCATACTTCCGAGATGTTGCAGCACGTCGTAGTCAGCCTCCCCCTCATTACGATAAGATACACACGTTCAGATCAACTCGCCTCGATCAATTTGCCTCGATCCACTTTTCTGGTTCACACATTCCGACCCGCTTGTTCGTATTGACACGTTCGCTCTTACTGATATTGACTTGCTCCTACTGATATTGACTTGCTCCATTCGATCGCTCCATTTCTGCACAGTGATTGCCATACTTTCTCGTAGCTGTAAACCAAGCGCTATGAATTGCCGCACCCTTTGCAATATCCCAAAGCGAACGCTTGCATTCCACTTCATTTCCACCTAACATGCTTTGAGAGTATCGATAGACGTCAACACTGTCATCGATATCGGTCGCCAGGTTGAAGCTGGTGTTGAACACTACGACAAGGTTGAGCACTACGACAAGGTCATCAGCTCTGACCACTACGTCAATACGGATGTGGACACAGTACAACACGACTCCCGATGCAAACCAGGAAACAAACACTGACACCGACCTCCATCGTACTGTTCGTGGCCACCTCGTAGCATACACCACGAATCGATGAGTATCGGAACCAGCCAGGAATCAGCTACCACATTCGCTAAGAAACGGACAAACACAAACGTGACTCGAAATTGCCTTTCACGCTCGTGGCTGGAAACATGATCGAAACACGCGGGCCTTCCAACTATCAGCTTGATCAACTCAATCAACTGAAGCAGTCACCATGACGGTTCGTGACCATTTACCCGTCACAACACCAGCCCACTCGCGAGCTCGTCTACCGATCCCACTCACTCACTATCCAATTGACACTGCCAGTGCACCACGCAGCGAGGAAGTTATCGACTCGACCGACCGACCGACCGACCGATCAAGCGACAGACGAACTCGACCATGAAGATCACCGCTCTCGCCATCACTGCGCTAGCCACCGTAGCAAGCGTCGCATCCGCTGACGACTACCAGCCGGCTCTCCGAGCACTTGCCGCACAGGAGCCAACTGCACCCATTGCCGACACACTTGCTTCCGACCCGACCAAGCAACAATCCTCTTCTCCTGTGGAGGCTGCTGCTGCAGCTGCCAACACGGAGCATGATGTCGACGATGACAGCAAGAAGGCCAAGGAGTGGTGGGGACGACCGGGATGGGGACATCGCTGGGGAGGCTATGGATGGGGGCGTCCCTGGGGTGGCTACGGTGGTGGCTGGGGTGGATACGGTGGCGGCTGGGGATGGTAGACGTCACACATCAACGACACCATCGACACGCTTGCAACCTGCCGCACTCTCACACGGACGGAACAGAACAAGGCGACTGCAATGTAGCCAATCAAATGGAAATCGGCATGCTCATTCAGCCTCGCTTTGTTCTCTAACGCTCTGAGTTCGTCCAATGTTGTTCTGGTCGCCACATTGGTTCAACATATCGCGTCAATGAAACACATGCTCGACTACCTTTTGTGTTGAGTGCAACGGCTCGGTGCAAGCTTGGCGCTGCATACTTCCGAGATGTTGCAGCACGTCGTAGTCAGCCTCCCCCTCACTACGATAAGAGACGCACGTTCAGATCAACTCGCCTCGATCAATTGGCCTCGATCCACTTTTCTGGTTCACACATTCCGACCCGCTTGTTCGTATTGACACGTTCGCTCTTACTGATATTGACTTGCTCCTACTGATAGTGACTTGCTCCATTCGATCGCTCCATTTCTGCACAGTGATTGCCATACTTTCTCGTAGCTGTAAACCAAGCGCTATGAATTGCCGCACCCTTTGCAATATCCCAAAGCGAACGCTTGCATTCCACTTCATTTCCACCAAACATGCTTTGAGAGTATCGATAGACGTCAACACGTCATCGATATCGGTCGCCAGGTTGAAGCTGGTGTTGAACACTACGACAAGGTTGAACACTACGACAAGGTCATCAGCTCTGACCACTACGTCAATACGGAAGTAGACACAGTACAACACGACTCCCGATGCAAATCAAGAAACAAACACTGACACCGACCTCCATCGTACTGTTCGTGGCCACCTCGTAGCATGCACCACGAATCGATGAGTATCGGAACCAGCCAGGAATCAGCTACCACATTCGCTAAGAAACGGACAAACACAAACGTGACTCGAAATGCCTTTCACGCTCGTGGCTGGAAACATGATCGAAACACGCGGGCCTTCCAACTATCAGCTTGATCAACTCAATCAACTGAAGCAGTCACCATGACGGTTCGTGACCATTTACCCGTCACAACACCAGCCCACTCGCGAGCTCGTCTACCGATCCCACTCACTCACTATCCAATTGACACTGCCAGTGCACCACGCAGCGAGGAAGTTATCGACTCGACCGACCGACTGACGACTGACCGATCAAGCGACAGACGAACTCGACCATGAAGATCACCGCTCTCGCCATCACTGCGCTAGCCACCGTAGCAAGCGTCGCATCCGCTGACGACTACCAGCCGGCTCTCCGAGCACTTGCCGCACAGGAGCCAACTGCACCCATTGCCGACACACTTGCTTCCGACCCGACCAAGCAACAATCCTCTTCTCCTGTGGAGGCTGCTGCTGCAGCTGCCAACACGGAGCATGATGTCGACGATGACAGCAAGAAGGCCAAGGAGTGGTGGGGACGACCGGGATGGGGACATCGCTGGGGAGGCTATGGATGGGGGCGTCCCTGGGGTGGGGTGGCTACGGTGGTGGCTGGGGTGGATACGGTGGCGGCTGGGGATGGTAGACGTCACACATCAACGACACCATCGACACGCTTGCAACCTGCCGCACTCTCACACGGACGGAACAGAACAAGGCGACTGCAATGTAGCCAATCAAATGGAAATCGGCATGCTCATTCAGCCTCGCTTTGTTCTCTAACGCTCTGAGTTCGTCCAATGTTGTTCTGGTCGCCACATTGGTTCAACATATCGCGTCAATGAAACACATGCTCGACTACCTTTTGTGTTGAGTGCAACGGCTCGGTGCAAGCTTGGCGCTGCATACTTCCGAGATGTTGCAGCACGTCGTAGTCAGCCTCCCCCTCATTACGATAAGATACACACGTTCAGATCAACTCGCCTCGATCAATTTGCCTCGATCCACTTTTCTGGTTCACACATTCCGACCCGCTTGTTCGTATTGACACGTTCGCTCTTACTGATATTGACTTGCTCCTACTGATAGTGACTTGCTCCATTCGATCGCTCCATTTCTGCACAGTGATTGCCATACTTTCTCGTAGCTGTAAACCAAGCGCTATGAATTGCCGCACCCTTTGCAATATCCCAAAGCGAACGCTTGTATTCCACTTCATTTCCACCAAACATGCATTGAGAGTATCGATAGACGTCAACACGTCATCGATATCGGTCGCCAGGTTGAAGCTGGTGTTGAACACTACGACAAGGTTGAACACTACGACAAGGTCATCAGCTCTGACCACTACGTCAATACGGATGTAGACACAGTACAACACGACTCCCGATGCAAACCAGGAAACAAACACTGACACCGACCTCCATCGTACTGTTCGTGGCCACCTCGTAGCATGCACCACGAATCGATGAGTATCGGAACCAGCCAGGAATCAGCTACCACATTCGCTAAGAAACGGACAAACACAAACGTGACTCGAAATTGCCTTTCACGCTCGTGGCTGGAAACATGATCGAAACACGCGGGCCTTCCAACTATCAGCTTGATCAACTCAATCAACTGAAGCAGTCACCATGACGGTTCGTGACCATTTACCCGTCACAACACCAGCCCACTCGCGAGCTCGTCTACCGATCCCACTCACTCACTATCCAATTGACACTGCCAGTGCACCACGCAGCGAGGAAGTTATCGACTCGACCGACCGACCGACCGACCGATCAAGCGACAGACGAACTCGACCATGAAGATCACCGCTCTCGCCATCACTGCGCTAGCCACCGTAGCAAGCGTCGCATCCGCTGACGACTACCAGCCGGCTCTCCGAGCACTTGCCGCACAGGAGCCAACTGCACCCATTGCCGACACACTTGCTTCCGACCCGACCAAGCAACAATCCTCTTCTCCTGTGGAGGCTGCTGCTGCAGCTGCCAACACGGAGCATGATGTCGACGATGACAGCAAGAAGGCCAAGGAGTGGTGGGGACGACCGGGATGGGGACATCGCTGGGGAGGCTATGGATGGGGGCGTCCCTGGGGTGGCTACGGTGGTGGCTGGGGTGGATACGGTGGCGGCTGGGGATGGTAGACGTCACACATCAACGACACCATCGACACGCTTGCAACCTGCCGCACTCTCACACGGACGGAACAGAACAAGGCGACTGCAATGTAGCCAATCAAATGGAAATCGGCATGCTCATTCAGCCTCGCTTTGTTCTCTAACGCTCTGAGTTCGTCCAATGTTGTTCTGGTCGCCACATTGGTTCAACATATCGCGTCAATGAAACACATGCTCGACTACCTTTTGTGTTGAGTGCAACGGCTCGGTGCAAGCTTGGCGCTGCATACTTCCGAGATGTTGCAGCACGTCGTAGTCAGCCTCCCCCTCATTACGATAAGATACACACGTTCAGATCAACTCGCCTCGATCAATTGGCCTCGATCCACTCTTCTGGTTCACACATTCCGACCCGCTTGTTCGTATTGACACGTTCCTTCTTACTGATATTGACTTGCTCCTACTGATATTGACTTGCTCCATTCGATCGCTCCATTTCTGCACAGTGATTGCCATACTTTCTCGTAGCTGTAAACCAAGCGCTATGAATTGCCGTACCCTTTGCAATATCCCAAAGCAAACGCTTGCATTCCACTTCATTTCCACCAAACATGCTTTGAGAGTATCGATAGACGTCAACACTGTCATCGATATCGGTCGCCAGGTTGAAGCTGGTGTTGAACACTACGACAAGGTTGAACACTACGACAAGGTCATCAGCTCTGACCACTAGCGTCAATACGGATGTAGACACAGTACAACACGACTCCCGATGCAAATCAAGAAACAAACACTGACACCGACCTCCATCGTACTGTTCGTGGCCACCTCGTAGCATGCACCACGAATCGATGAGTATCGGAACCAGCCAGGAATCAGCTACCACATTCGCTAAGAAACGGACAAACACAAACGTGACACGAAATAGCCTTTCACGCTCGTGGCTGGAAACATGATCGAAACACGCGGGCCTTCCAACCATCAGCTTGATCAACTCAATCAACTGAAGCAGTCACCATGACGGTTCGTGACCATTTACCCGTCACAACACCAGCCCACTCGCGAGCTCGTCTACCGATCCCACTCACTCACTATCCAATTGACACTGCCAGTGCACCACGCAGCGAGGAAGTTATCGACTCGACCGACCGACCGACCGACCGATCAAGCGACAGACGAACTCGACCATGAAGATCACCGCTCTCGCCATCACTGCGCTAGCCACCGTAGCAAGCGTCGCATCCGCTGACGACTACCAGCCGGCTCTCCGAGCACTTGCCGCACAGGAGCCAACTGCACCCATTGCCGACACACTTGCTTCCGACCCGACCAAGCAACAATCCTCTTCTCCTGTGGAGGCTGCTGCTGCAGCTGCCAACACGGAGCATGATGTCGACGATGACAGCAAGAAGGCCAAGGAGTGGTGGGGACGACCGGGATGGGGACATCGCTGGGGAGGCTATGGATGGGGGCGTCCCTGGGGTGGCTACGGTGGTGGCTGGGGTGGATACGGTGGCGGCTGGGGATGGTAGACGTCACACATCAACGACACCATCGACACGCTTGCAACCTGCCGCACTCTCACACGGACGGAACAGAACAAGGCGACTGCAATGTAGCCAATCAAATGGAAATCGGCATGCTCATTCAGCCTCGCTTTGTTCTCTAACGCTCTGAGTTCGTCCAATGTTGTTCTGGTCGCCACATTGGTTCAACATATCGCGTCAATGAAACACATGCTCGACTACCTTTTGTGTTGAGTGCAACGGCTCGGTGCAAGCTTGGCGCTGCATACTTCCGAGATGTTGCAGCACGTCGTAGTCAGCCTCCCCCCTCATTACGATAAGATACACACGTTCAGATCAACTCGCCTCGATCAATTGGCCTCGATCCACTCTTCTGGTTCACACATTCCGACCCGCTTGTTCGTATTGACACGTTCGCTCTTACTGATATTGACTTGCTCCTACTGATATTGACTTGCTCCATTCGATCGCTCCATTTCTGCACAGTGATTGCCATACTTTCTCGTAGCTGTAAACCAAGCGCTATGAATTGCCGTACCCTTTGCAATATCCCAAAGCAAACGCTTGCATTCCACTTCATTTCCACCAAACATGCTTTGAGAGTATCGATAGACGTCAACACTGTCATCGATATCGGTCGCCAGGTTGAAGCTGGTGTTGAACACTACGACAAGGTTGAACACTACGACAAGGTCATCAGCTCTGGCCACTAGCGTCAATACGGATGTAGGACACAGTACAACACGACTCCCGATGCAAATCAAGAAACAAACACTGACACCGACCTCCATCGTACTGTTCGTGGCCACCTCGTAGCATGCACCACGAATCGATGAGTATCGGAACCAGCCAGGAATCAGCTACCACATTCGCAAAGAAACGGACAAACACAAACGTGACTCGAAATTGCCTTTCACGCTCGTGGCTGGAAACATGATCGAAACACGCGGGCCTTCCAACTATCAGCTTGATCAACTCAATCAACTGAAGCAGTCACCATGACGGTTCGTGACCATTTACCCGTCACAACACCAGCCCACTCGCGAGCTCGTCTACCGATCCCACTCACTCACTATCCAATTGACACTGCCAGTGCACCACGCAGCGAGGAAGTTATCGACTCGACCGACCGACCGACCGACCGACCGATCAAGCGACAGACGAACTCGACCATGAAGATCACCGCTCTCGCCATCACTGCGCTAGCCACCGTAGCAAGCGTCGCATCCGCTGACGACTACCAGCCGGCTCTCCGAGCACTTGCCGCACAGGAGCCAACTGCACCCATTGCCGACACACTTGCTTCCGACCCGACCAAGCAACAATCCTCTTCTCCTGTGGAGGCTGCTGCTGCAGCTGCCAACACGGAGCATGATGTCGACGATGACAGCAAGAAGGCCAAGGAGTGGTGGGGACGACCGGGATGGGGACATCGCTGGGGAGGCTATGGATGGGGGCGTCCCTGGGGTGGCTACGGTGGTGGCTGGGGTGGATACGGTGGCGGCTGGGGATGGTAGACGTCACACATCAACGACACCATCGACACGCTTGCAACCTGCCGCACTCTCACACGGACGGAACAGAACAAGGCGACTGCAATGTAGCCAATCAAATGGAAATCGGCATGCTCATTCAGCCTCGCTTTGTTCTCTAACGCTCTGAGTTCGTCCAATGTTGTTCTGGTCGCCACATTGGTTCAACATATCGCGTCAATGAAACACATGCTCGACTACCTTTTGTGTTGAGTGCAACGGCTCGGTGCAAGCTTGGCGCTGCATACTTCCGAGATGTTGCAGCACGTCGTAGTCAGCCTCCCCCTCATTACGATACGATACACACGTTCAGATCAACTCGCCTCGATCAATTGGCCTCGATCCACTTTTCTGATTCACACATTCCGACCCGCTTGTTCGTATTGACACGTTCGCTCTTACTGATATTGACTTGCTCCAACTGATAGTGACTTGCTCCATTCGATCGCTCCATTTCTGCACAGTGATTGCCATACTTTCTCGTAGCTGTAAACCAAGCGCTATGAATTGCCGTACCCTTTGCAATATCCCAAAGCAAACGCTTGCATTCCACTTCATTTCCACCAAACATGCATTGAGAGTATCGACAGACGTCAACACTGTCATCGATA